TTTGCGGGGTAGGAGATAATGATTGTTTCGTCAAAATTAAAAAATTCAAGATGACGGACTCAATATGGCGAAAGACATTAGTTTATATAATTATAACTCTACCACAAATAGAAAATATGTAGGATGCAAGAGTGAAAATAAAGTTATACTGCGTATACTCAGCGTATGCCTACTTCTTTGTTACTTTCATCAATAAATTATTCGAAAATGACTTTTCATTTAAAAGAGACAGAAAAATCATGTGTATAGCATGAGGGTGAAGTATATTCTATTCCTTATTTTCCTGCACATTTTACGTATTAATTTTTATCAGTCTACTTTTCGTCCTAGACGAAGTTTTGTACATAGTGTGATATTAGTAACTCCATAAATTCTTCTCCGAGTTGGATTTCTGAAAATATATTTAGCACACATGACATGAGTACAGTAGTCTAGATACCCACATCGAGGTTTCCACCATTAAGGCTCAGCTCATTCAGCTTATATAGATAGACTATAGACTACTGCTCAGCTTGAAATCAGAATTCATTCAGTCAATTCAGTCAACCCTGGTATACAGTCTTAGAACAGTCTCTTTTGGTGAAGTATATTAAGCTTTCAGTACAATTTATATGATCCCTGAATCGCAAAGATTATGCTGGAGTATAAACTCTAAAACTAGAAAATTGTTCATCTATATCTTGGTATAGTTGAATCAGGAATTCCATATGGAAATTACGTATGATACGCCAGTGACCTCAATATAACCTAAAACACAACGAATGTCAAAAATCTAGTGTTTATCCCCAGAATTGAATAAGGATGGAACTATATAACTGTTTCACAAACACTTCAGAGTGAGAGGAGACCAGGATCTGTCCGTACCCTGTTAAGATGACTTTAACGTCAATTTCCATCAAGGGACCCTAACTATATGCAGGCGACAAACGTCGAATTTCAAAACAACCCAAATGGTAGTAAGTAGGCAGTTGCAAGAATACTGAATTTAACTAAGACAAAGTATGGAGGTGTTTGAAATGCAATAGGATCAAGACATTCAAGCTGAAAAGTTAGGAATAAACATCCTCTATTAGAAAAAGTGGTTTTAAAATCTTTTTTTTTTTCGCTAATATCAGAGCTCTTGAGATTTTGAAAATATGAAGTGGATTTTTAGGGATTTCAATTAAATGCAATTTTTGTAATGTATTTGAAATGTTACTACAAGGAGTTCTGTATCAACACCTCAGCAATTCTATTTTAGACCAACCGCACGGTTTCGTTAAAGGCCGATCAACAACAACAAAACTCACCGGTATTACGCAATACATGGTGGAAAATATAGATGCCAGAATTCAGACAGATGTTATTCACATGGGTATAACCAAAACATTTGATAGACTTGACCATAATCTGATACTGCAAATACTCTCGATTTAGGTCCATAAGAACTACCTCGCCAAATCAGATATATCGTAAGAATCCTCGGTCCACTATTGTTTAATATCTTCATCAATGACATTGGTGGCATAATTGAACTGAAGTTTTCATTGTATGCCGATCTGAAAATGTTATCTCCTATCATTAATATGACTGACTGTAAGAAATTATAGGAAAATCTTAATCGGATCAACCAATGGTGTAGTTATAATAATCTAGCGTTGAATCCTGCCAAGTGTTGCGTAATGTCATATATATTGAGATCTGATCCAGTTATATTTGACTATAAGATAGTTAATCATCCTCTAGACCATCTAATTTTAAGGAGTCACTTTCCCGAAAGCTGTCATTCCAAAACCTTGTATACAATATGAGTACGTCAGCGAGCCGTATATACGGATTTCTGATCAGAGAAGACCACGACTTCAACCATTCTAAATATGAAACCATATACTATGCTTTCGTTAGATCAGAGCTAGAATATGCGTCATTTACCTGGAACCCATATCATCAAGTGCATATCTATAAACTGAAGGCAATCCAAAGACGCTTCCTCACATATTTGAGTTTTAAAGCAGATCGGACTTATCTACCAATTGGCTCGTCACACGAGAGACATAGCTTTTCCAGCCTCCACAAAATATTAGCACAGTTCCTTGATAAACTTCACCAAGAGGATATCGCCTTAGCCACCAACTCTTACTTTATGTCTTTCCACACGCACTTTACCTTAAAGAAACAGTCAAACAGTTATCTTCTTCTCAAAATGCCAATTCAAATAACAAGAACTATTGCCCTGCTGAGAATGCAAAAACTATAGCAAGTTACATATATGGAACATCTTGAAACTGCGAGCTTTCATTTTGAATGAATAATTTCATATAGGTTATAGAAAATCAGGATATTAATTCTACTAAAATTGTGTGCTTATCTTGAATATTTTTACTTTTTTTTCTCTCATTTTGTCAGTTTTTTTTTTTCATATCTAGCCGTCTAATATTTCTTTGTAAGCAGAACTACTTGTAAACAGCCTATCGACACAAAACATGAACCCCTTGTTGAAAAACTGTAATGTTTTAAGAAACAATAGATATATTATTATTATTGTTATTATTATTATTATCAATATACGTGTAGTTAGGATTTGTCCCAAACTTTTCAGTTCTCAGTGTCAATTGATGACGTTGGCAATCAAATGAGTAACAGGATGTTTTCATTAATTAATCTTGACTTTTTCATTTTCAGATTTCAGTAGTGAATACCATATTCTATATGTCTAAATGTCACTGCGTTTAACAAATTTTTCTATCAGAGAGCCTAAAAGCCTAAAAGAAAAATCCAGTAGCTTGTCAGTGACACTTTGTTTGAAAAAATGTTTGAAGGAAAGAAATATAGATATATTGAAAAAATATCGAATTTTCTACTTATCTTTGGACGTTTCGGGAACGAATCTGCTCCCGTTCTCAACATGAAAATGCAAAATATTTTTCTTTGGAAGTTGTGCTCTGCTTATATTTTGACACTTCTCAGTGTCATACTGATGTTGGCATATGAATGAGTGATTTTAGTCTACAAATGAATTACAGGATGTTTTCATCAATTGATCTTGATTCTACCATTTTCATGTTCAGTTTTTATTAGTGAACAGGAAGCAATGCTATTGCCTTCGTTCAGAAGGATGCAAGCAGATTCCTTGATTTTTCTCTATTAAGAAAACTGAAAATACAATGAGATCAATTCTAAGTCAAACAAAACCGAAAAATGAAGAACAATCGTCATAAAATTGTATTTACAGTAAACCTTGTGTTTGTGGAAAGTTGTATACAGGTGAAACCAAGAGACCTCTTTCAGTAAGGACGAAGGAACATAAATACAATATATAGAAAAGACACATCGACAAATCGAAACTAGCTGAAAATATTCTTACTGAAGATGGACACCATATGGCAGAGTGGAATAATATTAAAATCATTGGAAAAGAAGATAACAACCAGAAGAGAAAAATCAAGGAATCTGCTTGCATTCTTCTGAACGGAGACAATAGCATTGCTTCCTGTTCAGTTGATATATATAGAACATGGTATTCACTACTGAAATCTGAAAATGAAAATGGTAAATTCAAAATTGATTAATGAAAACATCCCGTAACTCATTTGATTGCCAACGTCGCCAATTGTCACTGAGAACTGAAAAGTGTCAGGACAACTACGAATTTGCCATACAAAAAATCCATTTTTTATGTTGAAAACGGGAGCAGATTCGTTCTCGAAACGTCCAAAGATAAGTAAAAATTTGATAGTTTTTCTATATACCTTTATTTTTCTTCTCCAAACCCTTTTCAATACAAATTGTCACTGACAAGCTAGTGAATTTTTCTTTTAGGCTCTCTGATAGGAAAATTCTTTAAACGCAGTGACATTTTGGAGCAAATCATCTGATTTGTCCTAACTACACATATATTGTAATAGTATTCATATTTTTATTTTATAGAGACGAGGAGAGAAAATCTCAAAAAATCTGGAATAATGAATTCACAACTTTTATTCCACCAGTTATTCACGTAGAGTAGATATTTTCAAATCACAGTCGTCTAAAAGTGAGTATATTGCAGTTTTCACAAAAGTTGGTACTGGTTTTTTCGGATGAAGGCAGCGCTTTTATAAATTTGATAATAAGGAGATTTATGCCCTTTAACTTTGAATAGTGAAATATTTCCAGTACGGTGAGTCGTTTGCAAGATATGAGCGGAAAACCGAGGCAGCAAACTTAAGGTTTGTTTTCAGCACCCCAACAGACACATAACAATTTCTGTTGAGAAACATTCTACCGCACTTATATGTTTTCGAAAAAATACCATTTGACATTTGACTAATTGCATACCTTGGTAGAATTGCATGTTTTTTTCGTGAAATTTGTATATCGCTACTTCGAAATTAAGCTTATAGTGGATTCCAAACTACTTCTGGGGCGCCGATATGTATCTTTTTATTTCTGAGATCATACCCCGCGATTGCAATTATATGTCCAAACATCCTGTAGATGAATAACATTTGCACCTACTTCTGTATGCCAAAAAAACTTGTTTTTTTTTGGGCATGAGGAATCATAATTTGACTTCATCTCTCAAGTATATCTTAAAGGGCGCCACATAAACCACATTTGTGGCATAAATGCATGATAAGCTTCCTTGTTCTTCAAGTTGGCGCTATTTTTATTGAAAAATATTAAAGACCCGTCATTTCAACGAGAAAAATACTTGTTATCAACCTCAAAAGTTAACGGGATGATCGAATTTTAGCAATCAGCAGCATAATTCTTTTCCACTTGATCATGGAAAATATTGACGTAGTAGGCGTCTACACTAATAATGTTTTAGTAGGCGGACGTCCAGAATAAATTTCAAGGGTTCATTATCTATGACTCTTGTGACAAGCGACAGTCGTCCATTTCCTTAGTGGTCGTAAAAAATATAGATTTCAGTTCGTGAGATTTGTCTTCATTTTGATTCTCACCTATGTGCTAATGCTGTTCATCGTACTATTCAGTACTATGCAAACATCCCATTCGTTTTTCAATCATTTCAGGCATTGATAATAAACGAAACGCTGAAACTCCTAAGCTCCATTTAAATCCAGCATCAGAAACGAAACTCGTTCAAGTCCGGAAGCCTCAGTACAGCTCCCCCAAACCAAAATTAACAGTGGTACCAACGTTAGTACCATCAAAATTTGCCCAAAACCCTAATAGTATTTTAAGAATCAATCCGACAAGAGAAGTTCCTCCGTTAACGAAACACATAGTTGTGCCACCGAAATGCTCAAATATAGTACCTCGAAAAATTATGAAAGAAAATACAGGGCCAAATCCAGCGAACAGGGTTCTTGGGAAGACAAAAAACACAGATCAGAACGGACCGTCTACGTCATCTGCAAATGGTAATATTTCAAATGGAAATATAACCAGTAAGCCAACAGCGAAAAGAAAATTAGAGCAGTTAATTAAAGATGACGTGGCCAAGAAAATGAAGGCTACAGTAACTCCTAGAAACAAAAATAGAAATCAAAGCGCAAAAGGAATGAGGGGAAAGGTGTCATCACAAAACGCAATAGGGGACACTATCAACCTGGTTGGTGCCGAAGATAAGGTGTCAAATCCTTCTTCAGATTCGGCTTCCTTGTCCAACGAGCTGTTAAAGACCCTGGGACAGAGTGGCGTAACGATACGTAAAGTTACTAATGCACAAGGTGAGTACTTGGATCAGAGAAATTGAGAAACCATCTTTTAATGCCATCTAACCACAAGTTTTGTCTCAAGAAAAACTCGAAAATCTCTAAAAAATTAATAAAAGATGTTCACTAGTAATTTCCCATGTGCTCGAATAATTCGTACCTCGAAACTTAATAACACAATAAATCGCCAGAATTATTATGTTTTCATGCTTCCAAAATATTTATGCTCTCATCTTTGGAAAAGTATTAAGACATGTTCGCTAGTAATTTCACTAGTGCTCGAATAATTCATGACCTGGATGGATCAACTTTCAAATTATTGAATATTTTGTGTCTCCAAAATTGTAGTGATTTATGACACAATAAATCGTAAGAACTATATATTTTTAAATCTTTCCAAAAAATGTATGCTCGTCATACCACATCTTGTATCTTATTGTTGAACGTCCGCCAACATTGCAAAAGTCATTGATGTATGTACTAACACCTATTGCACTTCTCTGAGTAGAAAAAAGTGCAACAATTCAGTCAATATCCCAAAAGTGGTTAAAATAGTCTCAATAACCATTGTCTCTAGAGGATATCAGTCGATTTGAAAGTTACGATTTGTCCGCCCTCAAAACTAATTTTTAACCTAAGCTAAAAAAATATCAGTTACATCCTGTCAGATAATTGAGTTTATTGTATATATTTTTTTTTCATTGAAGAAGTTTTCATTCAATTCCTTTTGTTTCAGATATAATAACCCTTGATTAATGAATGAATGTATTTTAAGTAAAAGGTTAATTAAATCTTATCGATCTCTAACCGAATGTACATTTTTCTTAGTTTTATAATAAGATCACAAAAAGAATCATGTTTCGATATGAAATGTGTATACAATGTATACTGTTTACTTTTTTTATTAAAATTATTTATTGTATAGTTGTGAAAATAAATGATACTATTATTGTTTGGTGTTCTAATTTTAATTGCATGCATACAAATTCAAACTCTTTCACCTAAAAATTCCGAAATGATTGCAGCACAAATCCATTTTGAGTTGACAAATGATTTCCATAGCAAATTATTCTTGCTGTTGAAAATTTCTTCATCTACTTCCACTGAAGATCTAGGAAGAGTGTGCAAAAATACCCAATTTTTGTCGGCATGTTCATCCAGGTATGTTCTTCGAAGCTTGACGTTATTCTCTGAATGTTGGTTCGTTGTTATAACATGAGCACCTTGTAACGAAGTTATGTTTGGCAAACTTATATGTGCATGAATTTACAGGGTGTTTCGAGAAACAGTGGCCCCGTTCCCCGTAAATAGGGTAGAAAGAACAATAAAAAATAAGTTTGGTTTGCTTAGTAAAAAAATTGTATAACGGCATCCGTTTTCAAGATACAAGGTGTTGGAAAAACAATTTTGAGACACATTTATGATTATGTCGAAACTACTAGCATTGAAATTACGTTTTTCATGAATATGTTTTGGAAGATGACAAATCGCATGAATTCGTTTTTTTATCGAACTCTCATTGAAGGCGCTAGTTCCACGGTTTCTACCAAGTGTAGATTTGAGCAAACCTTTTTTTACGTTAGAATTTCACACTGGAAAGATGCTCTTGGTCTCGATACTGTGTACCATTTTCGGAATATTTTCATTTGAAAATGATGAAGTGATCTATTATACCTATTTATTGAAAACCAAGAACAACATATTTCTATTGTCAAAGGAAAAAACTGCAAGGGTAAATTCACCTCAGGAGTTGCAAAACAAAATTGAACATCACTTGAATTACCTCAGAATGGATCCTCAACCGTTTAATAGAATAGGTATACCTAATGCATTCTTAAGAAAAAATGATAGAAATTGGGCATTCGTTAAAATGGAGGATATTTCGAACACTCACTAGCTCTAACTGATTCAATATTTTGTGTTTTTTGTCAAATTTATCTTGATTTTCTTGTGATCCTTTGTTTGATCGATAATTTTAGCATTAGAATCATTTTATACCAGCATCAATTATTACTTATACCCAATATTTTAGAATCTAAATATTCCGAAAAAGGTACATAGTATTGAGTTTTACCAAGATTACCTTCTTGGTGTAAAATTGAATGATGTTCAAGTTCACATGAAATTCAAAACATTCATGTACAATTTCATCGCAATATTGACAGTAGTTTCGACATAATCGTAAAAAAAATATTTTTATCGATATATATTGTGCCTTGAATACGGATGCCGTTACGATATTCTTTCAATGAGCAAACCCATCTTATTTTGCAGTGTTTTACCTACCCTAGAAATGGTGGCGCCTTTTTTGAAGCACCCTGTATAGGGTTGTCGAAACAAAACTAGAATTTTCTTTGTGAATGATAACTTTAATCAAGGCAAAACATTGACTCTATTCAGTCAAAAGTTGCTGGAACTTTTGTGAATCACACTGTATATACAGTGTGTTACAATTTGCTCCACCCCACCCCTGTATTTCCTTATTCCTTGGGCGATTCGGAATTTTTTTTTTCTCATATTATACTCCCCAAAATTATCTACTTCTGTCGAGAAAAAAAAATTATCAAACACAATTTCTTGGCCTACTGCGATCACAAAAACTAGAGCAAAATTGAAGAAAACAGATTAGGCATTTTTTTACAAAAATTTCGATAATGGCAATCAATTCGGACTAGTCACAAATACTCCTATATCAATTTTCAAAACAATATCTCATACGGGGTGTTTTTTATTAAGGTTACAATTTTTCAATAATTGCATTTTTCAAGTCACCGTGTATAATGATCTTATAAGAATTTGAATGATACCAGGCATGATGGTAGTCAGGATCAGATCATCTGGCTACAGAGTGAGATAAATAACGAATAAAACCATTAGAAATTCAGAATTTTTATCAATAAATTTAAAGAAAAAACTAAAAAAACGTATCAAAAAATAACTTCAAAAAATTATTATCCAACGAACAAAACAGCAATTATTCAACTCTCATCAGTCCTTCTGCAAACTGTTATCATTCTTTATCGCAATAACACTTCTCTATCTCTAGGCATGAATTTGTAAAAATAATTAAAAGGAGAAATGTTGTTACTGTTCAATTCTGATGAATCCTACTGATTGAAAATTATGTGAAAAGCTGGCCATGAATTACGCTTCGCTTTTCTCAAACAACTTTGACAGCTAGTATTGTGAAATCTTGCAAATCTGAAAGTATTGTGACTTGACTACTAGAATATTGAAAATTAGTAGAGCAGGTTGTGAAAAATCATAAAATGGAGAAATTAACTCTTCAAGAAAAAGTTTTGATCGTAAGATTAGTAGGAGAAAACATAATTTCTTACAGAGCAGCAGCTGAAGAATTCAATGTAAGACACCCAAATCGTAACCCTATAGATCACAAAATAGTTTCGAGAATAATCAAACAATTCTAACTAACTGGTAATGTTGCAAGTACGATAAAAAAAGGCCCAGGAAGAAGAATTGGAAATGAAGCAGCTATACTCGAAAGAATTACAGCTAATCCAAATGCTAGTTTGAGACAAATAGCTATCGACTTGGGACTGAATCACATTCAGGTTTGGAGAGTGCTGAAAAAGAACAAAAAAATACCTTTCAAACCTAAATTCCTTCACACACTTGAAGAAGGTGATAGAAGAATGGAGTTTTGTTTGTGGTCTCAAGGACATTTTCTGAATGATAACAATTTCCTCAAGAATATTTTATTCACAGATGAAGCGACATTCACGACAAATGGAATATTTTCTTCACAGAACTCGAGATATTGGGCATCGGAAAATCCTAACTGGGTTGTTAATTGTAAGAGACAATATTCCGAAAAACTTAATGTCTGGTGTGGAATTTTGAACAATATGATCATTGGACCTTTCTTCTTTGATGGTACGATAAATGCTAACAATTTCCGCCATTTCCTAGAAAATAAGCTATGGGATAGTCTTGAAGAACTTCCAATAAATATACGAAAAGATATTATTTTTCAACTGGATGGTTCTCCGATCCATAACGCCATCACTGTGCGAGCATGGTTGAATCGAAAATTTCCTTTGAAATGGATTGGTCGTAATAGTCCATATTAATGCACTGGCCTCCCCGTTCACCGGACTTAACCCCTCTTGATTTTTACTTCTGGGAAAAAGTGAAAGAAAAGGTTTACAAATTCAGGCCAACCAATAGAGAAGAGTTGCGACAAAGGATAATAACAGTTTGTAGAGAGATACAACCAGAAGAATTGATGAGAGTTGTAAATAACGTGAGAAAAAGATATGAAAAATGTATAGAGAATGAAGGAGATTTGATAGAGAATACACACATCTAAACTTGTTGATATAATTGATGTTTTGTTCGTTGTATGATTTTTTGATGTTATTTTTTGATATGTTTTATTTAGTTTTTTCTTTAAATTTCTTGATAAAAAATCTGAATTTCTAATGGTTTTATTCGTTATTTATCTCACTCTGTAGCCAGATGATCTGATCCTGACTACCATCATGCCTGGTATCATTCAAATTCTTATAAGATCATTATACACGGTGACTTGAAAAATGCAATTATTGAAAAATTGTAACCTTAATAAAGAACACCCCGTATGAGATATTGTTTTGAAAATTGATATAGGAGTATTTGTGACTAGTTCGAATCGATTGCCATTATCGAAATTTTTGTAAAAAAATGCCTAATCTGTTTTCTTCAATTTTGCTCTAGTTTTTGTGATCGCAGTAGGCCAAGAAATTGTGTTTGATAATTTTTTTTCTCGACAGAAGTAGATAATTTTGGGGAGTATAATATGAGAAAAAAAAATTCCGAATCGCCCAAGGAATAAGGAAATACAGGGGTGGGGTGGAGCAAATTGTAACACACTGTATATATAACAAGAGTCGAAAAATAACTAATAAATGACAGGATAAAGTGGACCCCCAACAAGTGTAAGAACAGAGAGGTAAGTATATAGACTGTTTTTTTGTTTATTGTATGTACCAGTATTTCATCTAAAGAAGGTACTGTATTAGCGAAACATATCGTGTGATAAGAATTTCGTGGAAATCTTATTGTTTGTGAATTTTTTTTACAGGCAGACTGTTGTCATTTTATACGCCTTCAGATTCGCCCAAAATTGTAGAAAAATATCGTCAATTCTCTGCGAGTTTTGCCCTAAAAGACCTCCTGGGACCAGCTTAAGCGTTCCGCAAGTTGCCAGATCTAAAATTTTCTGTAGTTCTGTAGGATGATGAAGATTGATTGGGGTACAAATTAAAGAAGCGAGAGTTTTCATTTTAACTTACTCCTGAACTCAATATCAGAAGTTTGTTGTGATGCAGAAGCCTTTATAAATGAATCGAGTGCCAGATATTAGAAAAAACTGGTTCACTAACTGATGCAAATATATTTATAATGAATCCTTTCATAAACGCACAGAATGACATATTATGTTATCTAACCTCACCACCAACGACAACAGAATACCTTTAGCATCTATTTAGGAAAATAAACAAGTATTGTAAATACGTAATGGTATCTAGGGATGTCGATCCACCATAAAGTCAATTCAACTCTCATTGAGCAAGGGGTCATCAGGTTATACTCTTAAAAGTTTTTGTGATACCTTTTCAGCCCAACTGCTTCCCCGAAAAGAGGAATCTAACTCGGGAGTTAAATTTTTTGCAGGTATATTTTATCTTTTCACTTATTGATCATGTTGTTTATGTACCAAGGACGAAAAACTGTCTACCTACTATACCGGGTGTAACAGGAACATGGTACACCCCCTTTTTCTTCTTTAGTTTTGGAGATAAGTGATTGAAATTTTGAATGACCAATTAACATGATAAACGTCATGTTTTTACATGAATAAGTTTCATTTTTCACTGCCAGTTTCACCGGAAGTGATGATAACTTTTGATTTTCAAATGCAACATCCTGTATATCATTGTATATTCGAATTCTGCATTATTTTCTGAATCAAATGATTCCTTATATTGATGATCATGATCATGTTACACCCGGTATAGTCGAGCCTGCGAATTGATAGTCGAAGCTAGCAATCAGGCGAGACAATAGACAATTTTTTGCCGAGGTCCACACCAATTTCTTTCGTCGACCTCGAACACTTATATTCACACCAGATGATCGCATTCACTCGTAAAAGCTACCAGACTCGACTTCAATAGACAGTTTTTCGTCCTTGGTATATACACTCAGTTCCAAAAAAAGTGACGCACTTGATATTTGACCTATCTTCTTAAAAAAATAAAAGTAGGCCGATTTTTATTTTTTTTTATTTGTTGGTAGGTAATGCATTTGTCTTTAAAAAAAGAAAATTTTTTCAAAGCCTCCTTGATGGTGGTGGAATGACTCGAACCATGATTTATTCTTGATTTTTTACTCACCCTGTGTGTTAATTGAGTAATGGTATACAAAGTGCTCACACCCTATACGAAAGAGGCTTATTTTGCGAGCATTTTGTTTTTTTATTCATTGATTTATCTCTAAAATTTTCCGAATTACAGCATTTTTTGCTGAATCCTTGTAGATTACTAACTTCCTGAATTTATCGAGAAACAATTTTCTAATGAAATAAACTGATACCAGCAATTTTAAAAAACATTTTTATTAAACATTGTATTGCCTCCTCTAGCAACTCTAAGAACTTCGAATCAACGATACTGGAAATTAAGTTGCTTATCGTTTCCATTGGTATACGATCCCATTCTTCCACTAATGCATCTGCCATTTCTGCGAGACTTTCCGGCCCTTTTCTGTTGGGTGATTTGGAAGCCAAAGTTCGCAGAAATGGAACAACATTCGAAAATATGGAACAACTTTGCCTTCTAATTCTTCAGTATTGGGGTGAAACCAGTCAAGACCACATTAGAAAAGCCATCGACATAATTATGTTACTTTCTCAAAAGTTATTTTTTTGTTTGAAAAATCGGAAACGTCGATATTTCTTTGTTCTTATGTTATATTTTTCGAATCAAAAATACTAGAAATCTAGTAAACGCAACATATTATAGTAAAATGCACATGTTTTTATCTTGTCATATAGGTATCAGTTATTTCTGAATGAATTTGCATATTTGACTTCTTGTTCTGATGTTCATGAAAATCCACGCTTTCAGAATATCATACACAAAACATACAGTGCAACCCTAAAAAGTTACTGTTGACGTTCGACCAAGTTTAGATAGTTAGGCCATTTTGTTTTTTAGAAGAATTGAAAAAATATGAAGTTGACGTTTTGCCTTGATCATTTCTCTTTTAAACAAGACCAAAATCAATGAAATCGATCCATTGGTAAAAAATTCATTATCTATTCGAAAAGAAATTTCCGTTTTTTTTTGACAACCCTATATACAGGGTGTTTCATGGGAAGACTCACATACCGAAATGGTTAATAGGGGAAATCGAGACGAGTTGATGTATATATATGGACACATTTTTTGCCCCTCCATAACGAAGATACAGGGTATTATGTGAAATTGCCATGTAACTTTGATGGTCTATATTTCAAAAATGATTCGTCGTGATCTGCTAAAATTTGGAAGCGACGTATCTCTACTGAACTATATTCAAGATAACATATTATGAAAAGAAATATCCAGGTCCGGACTTGGGCAAATTTCATGTTTCATTGTTATGTCAAAAAAGTTCACTTTGTGACCACTTTTCTCGAAAAATTCCATAGGATTCAGAAAGATCAGACAAAATTCTATGGGAACTGCTCTTCAGTTTACACGGCACACTTTGACCGGTTCAATAAAAAAATATGGAACAAAATCGTTTTAAATTTCGACCTGGCTGATAACTGTCAACTTTCAACTGGTATCATGTGAATTGATTTTTTCTTCATTTTTGTTGAATAGTAATTGACAGAAAGATATACGAGAAGAAAAAACATGATATTTTTCATCTAAATTCCAGATAGATATTATTATTCCTGACTTTGTTTTATGGGTGTCGCTTGAAGTGAGATATCTAGTAGATCCTGTTTTTCATTTGTGTGACGAGACGTGCCGTTTGTTGATAATCCGAACTGATAGATAGGTACTAGGCTAGAACTAGGTAGGTACCAACTGATGAAATTACGACATGAGGAATGAGGATTCATGTGCCCATATAATGGTGATTCATCAAATTAGTTATGCCATCACGCATAAACTATTGCATTTGCTATTTATTCAAAATTCCTAATGTTCATCCCCGTGAAGGATTTACTGCAACGTATTCTTGGGTCTGGAAATATTCTATGGTATTAAACATAGCAAAGCATTTGTTTTTTTTTGGTCTTGTTCAGCATTTGGAATATGAAGTGGCACCTAGAGTGTAAGAATATTTCGATTACCAGTGTTTACTTATCAACAAACGTCACACGTTACATAAAATAGAAACAGGGTCCACTTTATAACAAATTTATAAAATAGAGTCACGAGTAATCATATATATCAAGAAGTTCGGTCAAAAACTAACATGTCAAATCTTAAAAAAATCAGAACTAATCTCTTATGTCAATTTATATCCAATTAAATTGTACAAAAAATCAATTCACACGAATCCAGTTGAAAGTTGAGAGTTATCAGCCAGGTCAAAATTGAAAATTCATTCGAATGTTTTTGTTCCATATTTTCTTATTGAACCGGTCAAAGTGTGCTGTGTAAATTGAAGAGCAGTTCTTATAGCATTTTGTCTGATCTTTCTGAATCTGATGGAAGTTTTTGAGAAAAGTGGTCAAAAAGTAAACTTTTTTGACATAACAATGAAACATAAAATTTTCCCAAATCTGGACCTGGATATATTTTTTTTTTAATATGTTATCTTGAATAGTTTCAGTAGAGATATGTCGCTGCCAAATTTCAGCAAATTACGACAAATCATTTCTGTAATATCGACCATCAAAGTTATATAGCAATTTCACATAATATCCTGTCTCTTTGTTATGGAGGGTCCAAATTTTTTTTCATATATGTACATCAACTCGTCTTGATTTCCCCTATTAACCATTTGACTATGTGAGTCTCCTCATGAAACACCCTGTATAATTGAGGTCTTTAATATAACTTCGAAAGAAAAGTGATATCATTTGTTGGCTAGGTACTATTTGTACAAATGTCTGCAAAGTATCTTACCTTCTATGCAGAGAATATCACTACAGTGTTCCTTTCAGCAGGAATTATAAAAAGACCCCAATTATTCATGTAAGTAGCTTATTTTGATGAATGTGTTTCAATATAAGGGTTACCTACCAGATATGGTCTCAAGTAAACTCTTACACTCCCTTATATTCTCCCTATACACGTTCCCTTGCTTCTGAAGGGTATTTAAATTAGCAGGGGATACGGGACCCCCACATCGGCAAAGAAAATTCATTTGAATGCCCAATGAAGGAGCAATTGATAAATATGTATTAAGTAGGGCACAAGGATGACCAACCCAGGCTATGGTAAGTCCGTCTAGTTTACCAAAATGCTCATGAATGGTCAATAAGTCCGACAAAATGTTTAGAGATATAAATTTACAAGAGCTGAAACAAACCAACTTTTTTAGTAATAATAAAAGAATAGTTATTTTTCTCCAAATGTCATTAAAAGTGGATTTTTAATGACACTCAACAGGCAGAGAAGGTAAACTTTTTTACTGCCTAGGCAGAAAAAGTTTGTTGCTATGCAACGTTCCAAAGTTAATTTGAATCAAATTGGTAATGATCAAATTTGACAATGACTTTGGGTGAACAAAAAATGATGGATGAAAATAATTTGAAGAAAAAATGAAACGCCACCGCGGCATTAAATCTGTCTAATAAAAAAATGTATGCCTAGGCCGCGAAGTAATCTTGAGGTCGCCAAGAAGTTTCGCGGCCATACACAGGTATACATATTCTCATTTGTACAACTGTCAAAAAAACTTGACATTTCTGCATCTCTATCGATGCGTAAATGTTCACTTCACAAAATAATTCACAACATAAACATGAAATATAATTTTATGATGGATTTATTCATCTATATTTTATTTATAAATGAGTATTCATCATAAAACTATTTCAAACGTTTGTTATTTCTTGAAGAGTTGATTCCACAGTTTCATCAGATATTTTGATTTGTTTGAAAGAAAGATGGAAAATTCTATATTTTGTTAGAAAATCTCATTTTTGTAAATTCACATTCACAGTTGTACAAAAAATGTTGTATGTAATTTAGGGATCGACCGATACCGATATTTATATCGGCCTATCGGTGATATCGGCCTCATTGGCCGATTATCGTATCGGCCGATATTAAAAACCGAGAGACCAATACACTGATATATTTTTTTATTGAAAAAAAAAATCAATTTGAAAAATGAATGATAAAAATACACTTCCATCAAAAATATATCTTTATTACCAATAAAAAGTATGTAACGTAAAGTCAACTAAATTCTTTGACTATAGTAATTAAAAATCAATAAAATAAAACCCTATGCGGAATGCAACTGTAAGGTAAAATTATTTCACCTTCATAAATACAAAAATAACTGATTAATACTGATAATTTAGTTTTGGTAGGTTGTGATGCAAAAACAATAAGCTTTCTGTCCTATCAGGGGTTAGCCTGCTACGTTTTGCATCATAAATATTACCAGCTTCAGAGAAAACTTGTTAACGGGCGATAGACCGATATATATATCGGTATTTGAAATATCGGTATCGGCTAAAATTTCTATATCGGTCGATCTCTAGTATGTATTTCGTATGTGAAATTCCTGTTTTTATGGCATATTCGAGGGAATTTTTGGCCTTGACCTCTCATGTGCCATCAAAAACACACTTATTTCATGAACTTGATACAAAAATAACTATTTTCACTGTACCTTATATTTATGACGGGTACAGTCGTGGCTCCTTTTGCAAAAAGTTCAACCTTACTGTGCCTTGCAGACTGGCAAAAAATTATATCGGCAGCGGAAGATAACAATTTTCCTGTATCTTCAGGATTCTGACAAGTAGTCCAGGCACTACTTATAAGGACGTTTAATGGCATATTAAGCATACTCGCGGTATCGTGCAAAGAAGTTTGAATCCTCATGCACGGCTCATTGAGTAATACCATTATGTGTTTTTCTTCAAGAGTTTTCAAGTATTCGGGACATTTCTTTAGATCAATTGAAGTCATCAATAATGATTTCATCTCATCAGGAGATACATCGTCTGGGGTGAGGAAATGTCTTCCTTTCAGTGAAGATTTACTGCACAATCTGTTACTATAATATTTTTTCGCGAGTTTGAGCATTTCTCTGTCACATTGACACCTCGAGATTTGTGGATTTGTTTACTCAAATCTCCGACATACAGGATGTCTTCAATTGATCTTTAAAAGAACCTACACTGAGAAAAACTGGTTAATTAAAACGTCTAGTTGGTATTTTTTTAGTACCGATAATTAAAAATATTTGGAATTTTATTAACAATGACAACGTATCCTCATTTTCTACAAATGACTTTTCTATTTTTCGCCAATTATTTGTCATCAATAAAAATACTATTTGTGACAGAATTATCACAGTGTTGTCTATTCAGTCAATTAAAATTTCATATTGGGGTTAAAAAACCTCATTCTGGGGTTAATAACAACAGCTGACTATTTGCCACAACTGATGACACATTTATCGTAAAAGGTTTATTATTATTCATAGCAGAAATTGTTTAGCCATAACTAATAATTTTAGTTGTACTGCGTCGTTCGGGACCGCCTCGCGTCACTTCGAGACCCACCAGCAAAAATTGCATCTTGCATCTGTGTCTTTCTGTTTCATAGTTTCATCATTTGAACTTGTATCTTGATAGTGGATAGATCGCACGGTCGTCGAGCTAGACAAAATAAATTAAATAATTGTCTAGTGTAGCCGGGAGCGTCGTGTTCTTGCTGGTTCACTGCTCTGTGTGTTTTCAAATCACTGTTTTGTTGTGTTTTTTTGCACTTCGCGCTGAGCCATTTGGCATTTGGTTGGCAAAATAATAATTCGCAGTTCACTATCGTTGTCTGTGCGTCACTAGTTATCAGGTTTAGGTACCTATTCACAATTCAGTTCAGTTTACGACGGGCGACGGTGAGAAACGTCCATCCGACGTCACGTGTACACGGTGTATATTTATTATTATTTATAATTCCCTCTCTTTTTGCTGAGCTGTGGCCTGTGGCACTTACGGTGTGTGGTGTATTCCTGTTCACGATTCCATTGGAAATTGGAAGAAAAATGCATACAAACTGTTATTATCAGAATGTGGCCTTGATTTTAATTGATATAAAATTATTAAGTTGCCAGAATAACTAAATTATATTTCAAACGTTATTAAATCACTTTTAATAGTAACTAGATTCCATTTCAGTCACAATTAAATATTTAATTTGCAACAACACACTCACTATTAACATCAGAAGAAATGAGTAATTGCCCCAACTGGGATAATTTGTTGTGATAACAAACATATATTGAAACAGTACTAAAAATCTAATTGTCAAAACTATGTATCTTGATTGTGGCAAATAAAACTTGGTATTAATCCTTAAAAAGGCTTATTATTTACCACAACAACGTCGTAGATGACTCAACTAAACTTTTCATTTGAGGCAAATAGGCGTTTCCAGAAAAACAGAATTAGTTATGACAACAAATAATGCTTGCTGTCCCCTATCGTACTAAAATATTTTTCTGTAGTTACTAATTTTTTAGTAACGGCTACAAATTTTTTCCCTCAGTGTACCAGACCTCCAGACCCACCAGACTTCCCAGACCAAAAAAAAAATATTTGAACAAACTTGGGTAAAACTGCAATTAGCATCCGATGGGTTTATTTAGGAATTTTTTTTTGGTACCTACTTACGTATTTTTGTCTGAAAAACACGAATTTGATAATGAAAATGTCCTGTCTTCTGGATTGCATTTGAAACAATATGCCATTCTTTTTTCATCATTGGACAATTTATATATATCACAATGTAAGACACATTTTTTTTTCTATTATTGAGTCAACTAGAAAAATGATTTTCTTGTGATTTATCCATATTTAGTGAAAAGAAGGAACCATATCATTTAGAATAATGGCGTGTGTAATGTCATTCAAAAGCTTGTATGCTTGTTCACTAAATATGAAAAACTCGACATAAAAATCATATTTCCTGTTGAATTTTCTGTATAAATATGTTTCATTGTAGTACATCATGAGTATATAAAGTGTCCAATGATAAAATAAGAAGAGCAAGTACCTGTAAATGCATCCAACACAAGGGAGAAAAGAATAAAAGTCGAAATGTCGAACTTTTTTTTGAAATATCTCTATAAATAGTGGTTTGTTCACATTATCATTGTCAAATTTGTGTTTTTCAGACAAAAATACGTAAGAACTAAAAAAAAATTTCGAAAAAAAAACCATCGCATGCTTAAGATGCAGTTTCACCACTGCCTCAGTACAAATTTTCTTATTTTTTCAATCGTTTTACTTTATTATTATGAAATGGCTTGAAATTTTACTCAAATTTGGTTCATTAGCACATAATACACAGAGAACAAGAGGTCTTCAACATAATTATCAATGATTCTACTTCAGACACCCCAAATAAGAACATTAGCTACTCCAAAAATTTCAGTTTGGAAAATCTTGATATGTTAAGGCAAGACCTGTTGAGGTTAGGTTTTGATGAAGTATATTTACATTCACATAAAGGAATGAATGAAGCTTTCCGTAGTTTCATGGAAACCTTAAACTTTGCCGTTGACTCGAACTGCCAGATGATCAGTAATAAAGTTAAGAAATATGCAAATAATAATAAATGGTATGACCAAGAGATTCATGAGAAAGGTAATAAGCAACTAAAAAATTTATATAGTAGAGCTCGCAGTCTGAATAATGAAGGCATCTGGGAATACTATAAAAACTTTAAAAAAGACTACAACTGTCTAATAACCAAAAAGAAAAAAGACCACAATGACCTACTAATTACAAACAGTGGTAACAAACAGAAAACAATTTGGAACATAGTCAACAATACTGTTGGTAGAAAGCAAAAAATGAATAAGATTGAACTAAATATAAATGATGAAATAATAACTGACAGTATGTCACTTGCCCAACACTTTGCTGTAAACTTTAATGAGAAAACTAGGGAGCTAGAGCATTTCTTCAATGAAAATACTAACAATCTAACCTTCACAACTAATTGGACAACAAACAGTTTTGCTTACTTTCCTGTCACTAATGCGGAAATTGTAGATATTGTCAGTGATATTAGAAATAAACGCTCTGTAGGTGATGATGGAATTAATATCATATTGATCAAACATATAATCGATGTGATATCAGAACCTCTTGCATTCTTGATCAACTTATCCTTTCAAACCGGAGTATTTCCACACGACTTGAAATTGAGTAAACTAATCCCAGTATACAAAAAAGCGGATCCTACATGTATCGACAACTATAGATTAATCTCTCTGCTGAATGTAATTTCAAAAATCTTTGAGCGGGCATATCATATCAGGATAATCACATTTCTAGAAAAAAATGAAATTTTGTCCAATAATCAATATGGATTTCGACCTGGAAGATCAACTGAGGGAGCTACCCTTGAATTCATGGACACTGTCTATAGTTGTTTGGACAAAGGGTTATATGTGGCAGGTATTTTCTTTGATCTAACCAGAGCTTTCGATAGCATCAAAAGAGAATTGGTGAAGGATAAACTTTATGTTTATGGTATAAGAGGATCTATGTTGGACTTATTGGACTCATATTTATCTGAAAGAAGTTACTATGTGCAAATTACAAACGAAAGGTCTGATATGTATAATATAGATATGGGTGTTCCGCAGGGATCTGTGTTGGGGCCGCTTTTATTTCTCTTATTCGTCAATGATTTGCCAGAACATATCCATGATCAGATAATAATGTATGCGGATGACTCCTCTGTAGTGGTCACGTCACATACTTCTGGGGGGCTTCATGAAAGAATATCATATGTAGTCGATACTTTTCATAAGTGGTGTAATGGAAATCATATAAAACTGAACCTTGGTAAAACAGTTTACATGCATTTCAGATGCAAAAAAGGTGAGCCCGCGGTGTGCATACCTCTGATATAGCATGTGTGTCAGAGGTGATGTTTCTAGGTGTTATTGTGGACCAATTTATATGTTGGGACCCCCACATAGAACACTTGAGTAAGAAACTCAACTCTGCATATTATGCTATAGTGCAACTTAAAAAAACGTTAAATTTGGGCACGATTATTGAGATATACTACTCGTTAGTTTACAGTCACCTTACCTACCATGTTTGTTTATGGGGAAACTCTGTAAACGCCAAAAAAATATTTAGTAAACAAAAGCGTATAATGAGACTAATATTCAATATTCCATTCGGTAGTACTTGCAGGCAGGTGTTTGTGGACAACTGCATCCTACCATTACCATCTATATACATCTTAAAGACTCTATTGCACGTCAAGCACAACCTGAATAGGCTATCTAAGAATTCTGACTGCCATGATCATTTCACGAGAAATGCCAATAACCTCATGATATCAAAACATAGATTGTCCAAGTTTGAAAAATCTGCGAACTATACTGGGATCAAGTTGTATAACCACCTGCCTCAAGTAATCAGAGAGATGCCAACAGGTAAATTTAAAAATGTCCTGAAACGTTTGCTTGGTAAAGGGGCATATTATTGCATCGATGAGTACTGTGCATCGAACTTACTATATGAACTGTGATGATTTTTATTAATTGTCCTTGTTAACAAATGTTATTAACTAGTGCTATTGTTTTGTAAATTTTAATTTTGTGTACTGAGATGTATTGTATTTTAGACTTGTACCTATACTTTGACGTATATATCCACCTATGGTGGTAGCTGTGGCGATATGAATAAATTCTATTCTATTCTATTCTATTCTATCTGAATCCGCATATTATTAGACACTGGTCGCACGTGTTATTTTTCTATTAAGAAGATATATTCACTCCGAGTGCGACTAGTACTTCATTGTATTGTAGTCCACTCAATAAAAGGGGTGCAGAGGGCGTGCATGAGCAGGACACTAGGCAATTCCTAAAAGTCCTGACATGTATAGGAGGTGAGTCGGAGAGAAAGGGGTAGTAATAAGAATGTTCCGGTTTTGGGTTCATCGTTTTCGTAGAGAAAAATCTGTTTTTAAATGAGAGCTGTTACATTTTCTATAATGTTCTCCTTACACTTTCTTCGAATTCTCTATGGTTTTCGAGGTGCAAAGTAGAAATTCTCGAATGAAACATTTTTTTATCAAATACTCCTCATATCCTCTAAACCATTCTTCGCCCCTTCAGAACATATTGTGGAGGATTCAATTTACTTCAAGGAAATAATATGTATTTATGCGATTTGTCTACAACTAGTCAATTGCTACACCAATTTTAAGGTGTGCTATAAGTACGTGGGTCCGGAAATGCAGTTTTCAACATACAGTGTGCTGAAACTTTTAGAAAAGATCGGTTTTTCATGAATATCTCAAATATCCTTCCACCGATTTTCTTGAAATTTGGCAATGATATTTTTTGCCATGAAGGGCTGATATAACCATAATTCAATTGGAATTATGAAATCCAGTGGCGTCACGGGGGGCAACCTACCGAATATTTTTGTCAATAAAATGTGCACCACTGTTTTTTTTTTGAATTCTCTATCTTCATAAAAATAAAACATTTTGGTCGCCTGGATTGTTTCGATAATTTGCTTTATTTCCATGGAAAAAATTAATACCAATTTATTGCATAAATTTGTGCTAAAAAATTCCTTTAAAGTATTAAGATTCATTTTCTTCAAATATTTCTTGAATCATGTTTGACACACTCTACACTTTGTAAATTGAGAACTATGTATTCTCTGTCCAGAAAGGCGTAGGTTTCGATAATACAAAGTGTATAAAACATGTATTATGAAATATTTGAAGGAAATAAATCCTCATTCTTATTCTACGTCCATGGACATGGATCACACATTTAATTTCAACCCTGTTTTTGATGCAATGTTTTGCACAAATTTATACAATGAATTGGTATTTATTTCTTTCCACGGAAACGCAGCAAACAAGCAAAACAATTCAAGAGACCAAAATGTTGTATTTTCAGTTAATCATTAGGATATGAAGATATAGAATTTGAAAAAATCAGTGGCACACATTTTATTGACAATAATATTCGGTAGGGTGTCCCCGGGACGCCACTGAATTTCACAATTCCAATTTAATTATGGCTAAATCAGCCCCTCATGACAAAGAATTTCGTTGCCAAATTTCAAGGAATCAAAAAAATACATTATAGGGGGTTATACATTTGAAATAACAAAGTAACTACTACTTTCTGATATAAGCGGCAACCCTGTATTAACGAAAATATTTCAAACGGATAGAGCATGTTTGATTATCCACATCCACATATCTTCGAAATGACCTGTCAATCGGTTCCCAAAATACTTCCAACGACCGTGAAACACATTGTAGATTAGGCAAATCAATGTTGGGTCAATTAATTGCATGAGCATTCCACTTGAACAGCTACTGTGTCAACTGTTAGCGAAACATGCCGTCTTGCCGTCGTGTTTTTTATCATTTGTCAAGTTCGTTAGAATGTACATTTACTATGGACATAGATTCGATATCCAATAACGGCCGAGTTAATATAAAATGTCGCTTCTTCGATACTGATTGCCTGTTTTCTCAGGATCGGACGATCGCCATCTAACAAAATACTATTTGTTCGTCAGGTGCGTTAACTTTGCATTTTGATGAAGATTCCTATTATTTAGTGCCGATTTCAAATGAAACCAATTATCATAAAAAAGGGAAATTTTATTACAGAAATTGAATGTAAAAAAATATTTCACATTATTATAATCAGTTATTGAAATAATCCATGAAACTTATTTGCTGAAGGAAATTATTAAGATTATTTGGGTATCTGCAACTCTTTATATTGTCAAAACAGAAATAATCAGAATAAATCAATTTCCTCCAAATATAACTTCCAATTACTGTCTTTATACAATCATTTCATTATTCTGTGGCGTCAGCTTTCTCAACGCCAAATGGTTCTTCTACTGTTTCTGATCCACAATCAGCAATAACAACATCTTCCACTGGCTTATCACGACTGTCAGTCTTAGTGGCTTCAATTTTCCGAATAACATCCATTCCAGAAATGATTTTTCCAAAGACAACATGACGACCATCTAACCAGGAAGTTTGTTTTGTGGTGATGAAGAACTGTGAACCATTCGTGTCTTTTCCAGCATTAGCCATGGAAAGCCATCCTGCCCCATAGTGCTTCAATTTGAAGTTTTCATCTTGGAATCGTTCACCATAAATGCTACGACCTGGTGAATGAAAAAAAATGAAATTCCTTTATAGCTAATTAACTCATCACACTATGGTGTTTCTGGGCATTCTTTTAAATTGGTAGAAACTTTCAACTCCAGTAATTTATAGGTACCGGGTCTTCAACAATGATTGAGTGCTACGTGACCATTTTTGTTGCGGCGTCTCTTTTCCACCGACGTTAGATATACGAATGTATTCTTGATTACATAGTAATCAGTCACGTGGTTTTATATCATTGTTGAAAAAAAAACCTTTGGAGTATATCCAAAATCGATTGCAGAATATTCCTCACCGCGCGGCGTCGGCGGGTTTTCTTTGAAGGGAGCGTCTCGTGCCGCACCTGCACTCACTTCAAAGGGAACTTCACATCCGCCGACGCCGCGCAATATATTCTGCAATTGATTTCGGATATACTTTAATATATAATAGATATAGATCGAGCTTAGAGAGGGGGAAATTGAGACCAACATAAAAGTAAGGCGTAACGAGTTTTACCCACAGGCCACAGTCACATGAAAACTATACGATCAGCAATTAGAAAGTTCGAATAGGAACATGGCACCTAGAGAAAGATGGAGGGAACCAACCAATGAAAACACCAAAGAGAAAGAGGCAGCAAAAAGTAACTAACTGATTGTGGGCTACTGCCATATCTACATTTATTACAAGTTGTTGAATAGATTTGATACTCGGTAGAGGACGGTAAGGCAAGGGCGCATCTAGTAGTATAATTTATAGTAAATATTTGAGAATGGAGAAGTTTGTGAAAAAGGGTGACACCCCCAAGTTGATTTGACTTCCAGTTAAACCGGAAGTTAAGAGTGCTCTTAATAGTCTTAAGTGGATAAGCAGAGATTTTCATTCAAGCCCTATGAATTTGATACCTCAAGAATGTTGATGATAATTATCACTATTTTATATGAAAATTTGTTTTCCTACGATCGTGCGCAAAGTAGTACTTCTCTGCACACATTTGCATGCACAGTCACACTTCCGCACGCCGTGCGGATAAGTTATTTATTCGCACTGAGTGCGGCAAAGGAAAACTACTCAAAAATCTAACTAGTATGGACAATTTGAATTCATTTTAGTTGCTGTAAACTATTTTTCCTACGACTACTACTGTAAGTGATGGATATTGTACACCAAACAATGGCAGTAAGCTTCTCCTTATACACGTGTGCGTAAAGAGAGCGATCGCACGGTTTTCATAGGTATGTTGATAGATGGCTTTGTTTTGTTGCTAAGGCGATGTGTCAATAACAATTAACAATTTCATCAATGTCACTAGCTAGGTGGGTAGGTACCTACTTATCTTTTTATCAATCAATCCAGCTATCTACCGAAACCGCCGAAAGCATCAGGAGAGTTATATTTTTTGAAAATATGATTATTTTATATTGAGAATCCTCAATTTCAGTTAAAAAAAATGATGTCAAGCGGTGACGATGAGCAGATTATTTCTACACCACCAGAAATGTTGGAAAAACCTAGAATGGTAAAAAATGAGTTGCTACCCGCTAAGTCTCGTAATGATACGAAATAGCACATCAAAACTTCCTGGACTGAAGAATTAGGAATAATACCGTGTCATTTTCGGAAAATATCCTTTTGAAATATTTTCAAGAATTACCAAATTTCATGAAATCATCATCACTCTGGTCGATATATTCCATGTAACGATCAACACTAAATATCAATCACAATTTTAATATAGCAACATATCCCATTTCCTCAAAAGGGAAGGATGGATTCCGAAGTAAAAAACCAAAAATACTTAATGCTGAACAGATTACTTACAATTACTTTCTGCAGAATGCTCCTGTTGAAGGTAATTTTTCAAATAACATACATTCTCAACATTGAATTGATGAATTCCTTTATCTTTAAATAACAGGAATAATTAAGAAAGATCCATCTTCGAAATTATATTTATAAAATATCTACTATAACGGAGAAATGGTGATAGCTCAGTTGTTGGAAGCGCTGGCTCCGAACCCAAAGGACGGTGGTTCAGAGCGCAGTTGGATAACTTTTTTTTATTATTTTTAAACACGATTACAGAATCTCTCGTGCTGCAATGTTATAAATAAATAACCATTATTTATGTTAATTTTATATCTTTATACAATGTGTTTTTTGCTACCTATTAATAAAGCTGTTTAGATATGAAAAACGACTCCATTTCAGTTCGAATTGAGGGAAATGTCTTGGTATGCAATATATCAATAAACAAACACAATAATTGTGATTTGTAACTCTTCATGCAGCTGGCTTAGTGATGGGAGACGTTTTATATTGGTATTCGTTATTTGTGCCTCAATACAATATCTGCACTATCCGGAAGAAACTATAGTGTAGTCGTAGAAAAAGTATAGTACAATTCTCGAGTTGTAAAGCAATTACGCACTTGTGGAGTTACACACTCGCCGCTATGCGGCATCGTGTGTAACTCTCTCCACTTCGTGCGTAATATACGTTTTACAACTCTTGTTATGTAATATACTATTATGCAATATGAGAAGCCGTTGCAATAAGTGTATTCCCCTTTACATTTCAACTTTATTTCCCGATATTTGTATGTATTTCAGCTTAAAGCAGACAAGGAAAATTGTAGGTTCCTTGTATAATGATAAATAATATTATCAAACAAGAATAAGTGCACTTGTCAACTTTGACATGATGTCAGATTTTTCCTCGGTTTCTGCCAGCAAGAATCTGCAAACACCGACACTTTTATAATCAGTATTTACGAAATAGAAAAAGGTTTAAAAGCTATTCAAATGAGCAGTTCTGACGACGAGCTATCAGATTTCATCCTATTAGAGGCAGAAAACTCTGCCCACTAAATCTCAATAAAAATATGAGAAACAATATATAGTTTGAATATGATGCCACAACAAAGGAACAAATAGTATCAAGGAGGAGGTGTTCCTAGTCTATCTTGCAGATTTACAAAAAACCTACTCTATGAAGTTAAGTTAAGAAGTGTTCTCAAAGTTAAAATAAACTCCAATGTGAGTCAATATTTCAACCTAATTTCGTTTTAAAAGAAGCAAAATGTGGGATACCGATCGAAAGAGGTCAAACTCTTTACAAAAGTTAAGTTCCCAGATTTATGGAAGAGGCACTTGATCAAAACCTTATAACAGTTGTCACCATTTTTGGGTTGGTCAGTGCTTTTTTTATTCTCGTAGGGAAAATGTTGCTCCTAACACGTGCACAAAGTGCCTTTTCCGCACGCAAAAACTTAAACGAACTCCGCCTCGTGTTGTTTCCCTAACTGTTTTATCGTATGGAAAAGTAACACTGTGTGCACTTGTCAGGAAAATAATTATATCGGCTTTTCTGACTTTTTATTGACAATTTTATTGTCACATCATCATAACAGAAACAGCAATAGTCAAGAAGAATTGTCAATTTCAAACAATAACTACTAATGAATATGTCTTCAACATTTTGTCCGTCTGGTATAGCTTCTTCACTTTACTCTTGTCGAAAAAAAGGACTATTCCCCAAACTGACAGCTACATGGCAAGAGCAGTACATGGTGGTAAAAATAATCAACGATGTGGTCTACACGATACAGCGTCCTACGGACTCGTTATTTTTCAGAGGCAGTTTTTTTCGTCAATACAACAAATTTCTTATTGATACATGTCAAGTTCAATTCAACAAAAAAGCTCTCGTGTAATTAAGTGAAAAAATAATGACTTTTCTCATGCTTTCGACCCCATGTTTTTAATGTCTAGAAGTTTGAAATTGTTTTTTTTTAATAACTGGAGTATAACTGTTATGCGCTTTACAGAATTGAATTTGTACACGTTAAATGCAGTTACCTACGGTACAGCCTGTGCATCGTTTTAAGCTCAAAGATGTTTGAAACAATTAGCCCTCGAAAAACAATCATTATTCTCGCATGTGTAAGATCATTCTGAACTCATTTTATATGTATGATCTTTCAGTAAGTTTGAAATCGAGGGAAGAAGCTCTCGAAATATATAAAAAAATTACTCGTATCTTCGATAAAGGTGTTTTCAAGCTAAGAAAGTGTTCGTCTAATGATAAAATTATTTTACATGACATAGACAACTCGGACAGAGGGGAAAATATTGTTGAATTTCGTGAAAGTACAGACCTAGACACTAGGTATTGCTTGGTTATCAAATCCAGATGCATTTAATTAGTTGGTCAATATTCAGTTTGATTTTGGTGAAATCACAAAAAGAAATAATGTTTTGTCCACGGTATCAAAAATATTTGATCCTCTCGGGCCAATCGGACCCGTTACAATAAAGGTAAAGGTATTTTTACAAAAATTATGACAATACAATATGACATGGGACGAGTCGTTATCTGTAGAATTGTCGGCGTGGTTATGATAATAATAATGATAAAAATAAACTTTATTTTCTTTTTGATAGTTACAAAAACCATATAGGAATAGTCAAGAGAACAAAACAGCAACATATTATTGCATCCTTAAGTTAAATAATCTTTAAGGGAGTAGTAACATGATGATGTCAAGAATTCATTGAGTTGGCTTTTGAAACAGTAATTCTTCACGGTAGTCTATTGAAAAGCTTTGGTGCTAAAAAATTTGGTGCATTCTCACTGATTTTGAGTATTGCAAAAGATACATGATAATTATTTTTCTGCCTAGTATGATAATTATGAAGGTCACTATTTGAATTGAGCTTTACCTTATTCCTCAAAACAAACATACACATTTCAAATATTAAAATACCAGTGAGTTAGTATTTTGCATTCCTTGAAAATCGGTCTACAATAAATTCTCCTGGACATATTAAGCATACATCGTAATATTATCTTTTGTGCTACCAATACGTCGGTCACTGCTAACCACAAACAAACTGCATATCTATTATCAAATTATTAAATCTTATAGTTCTTTTTAGAAATTTATGAGATAGTTTTGAGACAAGATTCGAGCATTGAGATCTCCTGTTGAGACATTCATTCATAGACACCTAAA